TATATATACCCGTATAACGTACCCAGGTAGGTCCTTTTTAGGAGTGAAAATCAAAGATTGGAGGGGATTGCATAAATCCATCTGTAGCACAGGCTAAGCAGCACCGGAGCACCATCGTCGGTCCAGTCTTACAAAGAAGACTCCTCAGGATCCAGAACGATTGTACGATGTGTCGTCATTAGTCACGGTATCGCAACAACTTTTCCCTACCACGGGCAATGGAAGACTTTCTGATTGCTGTCCTAATCGCGGAAAACGTCTAACAGGAACAAAAGCTTCAAATTTCGCAGCCAGTTTTCAGCAGACCTGATTCAAGGTAAACACCTCAATCTCTTGTTTTTTTCAGTCCCACCTAAAGATAACTCCAAAAAGAAGTATGGACCCAGAAATATCATGAAGGTTTTTCTTTATGCAGACCACTTAATTATTCATGTAAGCGGTCAATTGTCACATTCTGACGTCTCGGAATTAGATCTAACAATCAAAGTAACCAGACAAATGCACGAGGGACGGCAGAGTTGTGCTGCCTCAAAGTTGCCACATACAAAATGAACGCAATCCGGAAGAATTTGCCTGCGAAGAGACTCAAGCAAGTGAAGCAGGCAAAGGCTTCGCTCCTTTACAGGTCCATGGGGTTGCACTGAAAAACGCGCGACATTTTTGTCTACCTACTGGCAGCGACGTGAATCCTCGCAAAGGACCAATTGTCACCATTTCAGTCTACCGTCAACGCTTCAATCCAACGGGACCTAAAGACTTGACAGGCTTGTTGTGGTTTCCGTCATCGCAGACTACGGAGAATCTATGATCCTGTAGGCAATCTTATAATATGTCATGCTTCTTGTTACTGACAAATGTGATCGCTGAACAGCTTGTAATATTATATAATGGTATATAATTCAATAATCTCTAGGTCCTATTATTTTATGGAATCCAAGAGGGCTATTTTCAAAAGCGATTTATGATCTTAACGTCAGTTCTACTGGTAAAACCGTGATGTGTATAGTATAGCAAATCAAGTTAAAAATGTATACATTGAAAGGTTTGAATGCTATCTGGCAAGAATGAACACACGAACTCGATCGTGTTTTTTAGTTCGGTAAGACTGAGTTACAGTAAGGGATTAAGCCAAAGCTCTTCGAAATTTTCCTGCTCTGCTGGTTTGGACGAGGAGAGGCGCAGGCGTTGGGCGGGTATCTAACCTAGTGAAAGAAAGTAGTCACAGGGCCGCCAACAACAAACGAATTGTGCATGTTCGTTATTATTATTAGCGCCTTAAACTAAGGACAGTCCAAAGGAAGTAGCAGTTTCACGTCGCTTACCTGTCGCCGTCCATCTGCGCCTTGTCGAGTGCCGCCTGCGTTTTATCGTATTGCGCTTGCACTTTGCTTAGCGTTCCCTGGACGCGTTCAAGCTCGGATTTAAGCTTTTCAGTTTCTCCTTGTTGCGAGTCCTTTTCCAGGTGGTACCGCGCGATCATACCCTGCACTCTGTTGGTTGGGGGGTAGTAGTTATATAACTACGGTACTACTAGGTAACTACTAGGTACGGAACAAGCGTCAAAGCAAATAAACTCAAGCGAATTTCCCTGTTTAGAAATTCATAGTATATGCAAGAGGCGTTCTCATAATTTTGCAAAAGTAGGTTTACACTTAAGAAAGGTGGATTTACGATTATTTAAATGGAAAGACTGTGCGCAGATACGGATCATTAGAACTCTAACACTGATTGCGCTACGAGACTGGTTATAAGATCCGTAATCCGAAATATGTAAATAAAATATAGTCATTGGTTCATACTTCGTTTTTATATAATATTATCGACCCCCTGGCCCTTGTTCTAGTGTTTTGGCATGCCTATACTTATACACTTCGTTAAACCTAACTTTTTGCAGAATTTAATTGTCACAACAGGTTGCATGCATTTTATGATAAATTCTAAATAAGTTCGAGCCGTTGTTAGTCCTTTTATAGCTTATGGTTTTGATATTGACGCTTATCTTAGAACAGGAAATCGAAGAGATCCGGAAAAATATTTAAAAAAAAAAATAGAAGATGTCAAACAATAAACAACTACAAACGGTTGGCACGATTTGAACTGCTTACACATGGTCAATTTAATTTCAGATACAGACACCTGGTTTCTTTTATTGTACCATTTATAGACCACTTAGGACTTTTCTAATTCGAAAGCATACTTATAAATAGGTTTTAATCTACAAAATTTACCTGCTCAGGCTAAGAATAAATTCAGATGACTTTAGATTAAGCACTAAAGTGATGTAGTGTGCATTTTGTGCACGACTAAGTCAAACCTGACATAAAATGCTATATATTTATACACAAATGTGCCACGGATCACTGCATCCTGGGTCCGTGATCGGCTTTAGTAGTCAAACACAGTAGAAAATGCGAAAAAGAGAATGCAGGCGTATGAGCATTGGTTGCTCCTCCCTGATTCAGTTTTCTTCAGCTCTGGCCGACTCTTCGGCCTGAACTATAAACCTAGCTTTGCCTCTCATTATGGATATAACGTGGCTAGTAATATTTAGGACACTGACTATGATAGCAACGATTTTCCAACGTGTATGGGTTTCTATACGACACGAACCTGTCTGTGCTATTGATGAAGTGACTCGTAGTTGTACTTGCTACTTACCTGTCATACTCTTCCTGCAGGGCTTCCCGCTCGGATTGTGCATTCTCTAGTTTCGCCTTAAGCCGGTAGATCTCGCCTTGAGAGCGTTCCACCTTCTCCTGAAGTTGGTCGACCTCTGCGCACTTCCGGTCCGTCTCTGCTTGATTCATTCGAAGTTCAGCTTGCGCCCTTCGGAGTTCAGACTGAGTTTTATCTAATTTTTCCTGTAATTCAAATATAATATTACACATACGATTTATACAAAACTAGCTGGTTTAGGTGTTGATTCGGAAGAGAGGTATAGTGCACTGCAGCTGTCGAAAAGTCTAACGGGATTGACTCCAGGGAGTTGGCTAGGGCAAATAATACATTATATATGTATACCATATTGCTCGTTAAGCATACTATATTCTTTTTTATTTAGGTGAAAAATCAACGATGTTTATCTCAATACGCTCTCTCAACACGTATTAGGCGATGATTTAGGCCAAATTAAGACACTTTGTATTGACTGACAAGCTGGCAGTACTCGCTTTTAAAGGACAGAGTTATTTAGCTAGCTGTGCCTAATGGTCCGAGATGAAATCTTTCACTGCTGTGTAGGCATAAAAGCAGCCTTGGCTACTATATTTTACTTATACATATAGGATGCTACTATAAGCCGTAACACTAGTAAAAATTGATGCTAAAGTATGTCAATACGGCTTCTTGCTTTAGTAATGAAACACACTATGATATAATACCAACGTTTAAGTTTATCTACGAGGTTCAGAACACTCGGAATATGCTAACTTCATTATGTATTTGTATAGATGTTCGTGTGTGTCACCTGTAAACGTTCAAGTTCCTCGGAACTGGGGTAGAGGGACCTGGCTGGCGAGGCTCCGAGACGGCTCCTCGACGAGCCCCGTTCATCTCTGTCTCCCCAGTCGCCTCGTTCCCGAGATCGATCTCGATCCCGGTCTCGATCCCGCTCACGTTCCCGCTCGCGTTCACGAGATCGCTCCCGACTCTCCCGCGTTAACCGGGCCTCCAATCTGTCTATGTTCTCGCGCAGACGGTCGTTGTCCAGAATAAGCCTACACATACCGACACACATGTTACATACCTTAGGCCATATCTTTGTATGTGTATGTGGTTTTAGTGGTGTGTATATGCATCTATATAGATCGATATATTGCAGTGGACCGCTTTAACTTTGCTGTTGGTAGATAAAAAAATTACTCGCTCTGCGTAAAAGACGCGTATTTATCATTAATTCGTATTATAACGTTCGCCTTTGCATCACTCGGCCACGCTTCTTCGGCGGGACGTCCCATTCTACTGATATTCTCTAACGCCTAGTAGGTTTGATTTCACGTTGAGCTGTCTAATACGTTCCGGGGTCTCTTCAGGTATGTAACGGGCAGGACTTATTTTCGGATTAGTCCAACATAGCGTGCTTTTGTTCCATAGATCTTCAGTCTTTCCCGTGACATTCCTATTACTGACCGAGTACTGGCTAGTTGATGCGTCATGATCGATGGTGCTATTTTCAATGACAGGAACATAGCATGGTTTTCATGCGTTACGGTGCCAACACAACTGGGGTCTACTAGTTCGATTCGCTTTGCTTTATCAACCCTAACTCCTACCGGCGGGCTTTGCACATTACTATGTGCTCTTTCAGAATAACGTCAGCAACTGGTGTTTTCCTTTCGGTCGGTGCGTTTCTGGAAGTGCATGTTAGAAATATATAGACTCGGATCGACTTTAGCCGCTGTGATGGAGCTAGTCAGATTCGCGGTTTAGAGGACGTTTATCAGCAACACGCTGAATTTGAGGCTTGTTCATCAGTTCATCTGGTAGTGCGCGTTCAGCCTTAAACGTACTTTTCCAACGAACCGACCTTTTCCATGTCTTTCCTTTAGCAATCTTCAAGTCGAGCAAGCGACCCCTGGCAAATAGGAACAGGCATTACCTCACGACCTGGCCAGGTGGACATACCTGCTCGCGAGCCTTGTACCTATTCGTGATTTCGGCCGTATCGCCGATCATCATACCGCTGCCACCAGAATGAAGCGGACTGACTAAGTTTTGTCGTAAGCTGACAGAACGGAACGCCATCGACGGTATTGGAGAAAGACAATCAGCTTTCCATAGTACTGCACCAAAAAAAAGTCAATTCCAATAACGTGCTTAATTGCTACTTATGTTTGTAAGAAGATGCTGCTCGGTACAACCCTTCCATGAGGAGACATTAGATCGTTAAGACGGCTGTCGGGTAATGACTTGCCTGGCATTTTCCGAGCGCATTCGGTCCCATTCGTTAGCGGTTCTATTGTGTTCATCGTGGATCTTGTCGAGCTCCGCCCGAACCTGACCCAGTTCCGACTGCGACGTCTCCAGTCGACCTTCAAGCCGATCTTTTTCTGCTGCCGCTTTGTCGAGGCGAACCTGTATCAAAGATGGACGGTCCAATCTTAGAATTTATGTTTTTTGTACGAATTTTACGTGTTCGATCACGGCAAATGGCATACGGAGTTAACGGCTTAACCTAACGTCCTATCTCAGTACCAAATATAACTATTTTAGTAACCAAAATAACTATTTTGGTTGAGTCATACCGCAAAATCAGTCGACTGTATAATTCCGCCCATAGCCTTAACTAGAGATGGAGCAAATCCGTTTTTCAGTTTTAGCGGATACTTGTGCTCAAATTTAAACTGAAGAGAAAGTTAAACGAGAGCAGCTGACAAACCATAGATACGTATATATTGCAATAAAAATGGTCGTACGGCTACATTGCTAATATATTATGGCTACCTTCTGGTTTTTTCGGTTCTTGAAATCGGGTGATAGTACGTGCCATACGTATAGATAAATGACTCATTTATAGCATTATAACGATAATAAGTCTGTCGCGGATCACTCCTTCACGGCGGAGTGTTCTCTTAAGTGAGGGTAATAATTAGGCCACCTTCTACTGCGACATGCCTATTTATAACTGTGTGGGTAGCACAACCCACAAATATGTTTATCTAACAGCTACCATTCAAATGGTTCTGTTTTAGACTATGTTACTCATTACTTACTATGTTACTATTACTCATTCGTTCCATGGACTATTATCCTATAGAAAAGAGAGGAAAAAAAAGGAAGAAACTAGCAGGATGCTCACAATGATTAAAACATTACCATACCTGTAACTTGTCCATGTCGGATTCGATGGAATGCAGTCGCATTTTATACTCGGCAATTTCGCGCTCGTGTAGCTCCCGTTCTTCGTTACGTTCCTGCTCAGCACGATCGCGTTGAACGCGCAGTTGAGCTATCTGTTTCTCTTTGTCCTGTAGCGCCTCCTCAAGACCAGTCAGAGCTCCTTCGTTGGTAGAGTGGTGGGCCTGGATGGCCGTCAAGCGCGCTCTAGCCATATCTAGCTGATTGTCCTTCTCCTTTAGGAGTTCGTCCAGGTTCTCGATCTTACGTTGTAGCACGTTGATCTTTCTATCCTTGATGTCCATGTGGTCCCGAAGTTCTTGAAGTTCCTGATTGAGATGACTGCGCTCCTGGTTTGTAGCCATGGATTGTTGAGTCCTCTTTTCGATCAGTTTATTCTTCTCCTCGAGACGCGCACGCAATTCCTCAACCTGTTTTGAAGTTTAGCAAACAAATGAATTCATAACAAAGCCTCTGAGTAATTTACAGTGTAACTAGAGAATGCCTAATACGAGTTTCAATTAAAGCAAAGCTTCAAACCTAATTACAATAGTAGAACTTTTTATCCTTTTTTAAACAAGCTATATCCAATTCAATTAAGCATTTATTCAGCTCAGATGATTTGGGGGAAGCAAAGCAGGCCCTTTACCTGACGATCTTTGAGCTATCGTCTTATAAACTTGTTTTGGAGTATACGTTCCGAAGAGCAGAGGCGAAAACGATACAATGTTGGAGCTAATCAGGGCTAATGAGCGAGTAAAACGATCTGTATGAGTATCTTTGTTGACACATTGACGAGTCGTTTGAGGTCAGGGTTCGTACGTGGCTAGCAGGATCGTATATTTTTTAAATTGCTTTTCAAATGCAGCATCTTGTTTTTCCGTCAGATCTGATAGCGGTAGCGGTTAGGCTGTAAATGGCTGTCATGAGAAAGTGTTGGCTTCGATGGATCTCGGTACACTTCACTGGTCGATTCGCGTAATGCTCGCAGAAAGAACCTCGAAAATCTGGGTTCTCGAGATATCCACTAGCTCTTCGAGTGTAAAAGGCTTTGTCATTAGAGAATGTTAACAAGTGCTGCTTATTTATTTATTGCAGAGGATAATACAGTCTGCCCAAAAGGCATCGATTGTTGGATACTACGCAACTGTGAAAGTGAACGTTTCACTATTCGAATATATAATTTAAGAAACGCGATCATGATTGAAGATACAGAAAACCCCTATTCACTATTTTCGGAGCGATCTCATCGTCATCGTATCTGTTAACGCAGGCTGCAGTTAGCATCACAAGCTCTCGTTCAAATTAGTTAATACCCAATATCTACGTAACACTATGCTGATCCACCTAGCCGCCTATTTGCTTTCAATTTATAGCCTTTAACAGTTTCGTTGTTGTATTTGAAATTAAGTGATAGTTTCAACAATAACTCATCCTTAAAAATCCTATTATGTTATTAACCTTTAGTGCATTAGGTTGAATAAAATTTCACAATGATTGTTTATGTTCATAGTTTCTTTTTGCAATTTTTCCTTTGCTGGTGGTCAAATGTTACGTGAAGGGTATTATTAATATATCCATAGAAAGCTCTTCGTTTACGAAGTTCTGCCCTATAAGACCCTTATCGCCGTTTTGTTAAAATCGCGGGGTGTCATATGAGGTAGGCACGGATTTTTGTCGATGTCAAAAAGCTTCACAAGCGGCTTAGGAAACTGGTTTTGCGTACAATGAAGATTCTAGAGGTAACGGAAGATCAAAAAATAGCTAGAAATTTTTATTTGAATCAACAAACTTCTTTCAGTCGCAGAACTTGACGTTTATTCGGGCTGTAAACTAAAGGCCTAAAATAGATAAGAAATATACAGCAAGAGCTTTATAACTGGGAGCACGATTTAAGAGCGGCTCAGAAGTGACATCTTCAACCTAAAAAATGCATTCCACTTTAGTTTGTTCATGTTAGACGCAGACTGCCCTCGCCGAGGCACTAAGCCGCTGTTGAAACTGAAGTACAGAGTTAAATTCTTGCCCACGAAGGCCTTGTCCTGTACACAAACCAAGTGTTCTGATTTGCTCATAGCCTTTTAAAAATGTCGAAGTTGCCATGTCTGAAGTGTGAAGTGCAAAGTTTCGTGATTCAAACAAAACAGCATGCTTGCAGATGGCTTTTCAACGCTAAGCAAACAACAAATAAGGACAGAAATCTGACTGTAAACATTCATTTACCCTTTTTATACCCCCTTGCCTAAGGATAAGGCCGAACTGATGCGGATTAGTCTAGTACGTACGTCAGCTTGCAGCATGTTGTGATGCTCCTCTTTGGCGCACAGAGACTCCTTGAGCACAGCAATATGCCGCTGGTAGTCCTGATGCTGCTCTTCGAGTGTTTTCATCTTCGCCCCGAGTGCCAAAACCTCCTGCTCCTTCTTGTTCAACTCGAGTCGCAGTTCTTCCACCTGGGGCGCACCAAGAACGAAAACCACAGAAAGGTATTTATAACTAGAAATGCGTAAAGCCAAAATACTTTTCTTATGATTCGCATCATTACCTAGATGTGTTGTTTTTGTCGTTGTTGAAATTGTATTCATCGAATGTATAATCTTTGCTTACTCTCACAATGGTTTTTTTTCCCATTGTGTGTACGTTGACGAGTCGGTCCGAGCAACGCGTACTGCTAATCCGTCACGTCAATGACCTCTCTTTGACCCTTTATATTGTTATTTTTACTCATACTGTACTGTTACTTATTTAGTGTGACAATTTTAATCAGAATCCGCCCGGCCGAGATGCAGTGTTTATGAAGTTCCGAAAACGTAGGACTGCGACGGTCGTATATATAATACAATACGTCCGATTTAGCGGTCTAGAATCAAACACATTTACGTGAGTGCTAATACGTTATTTGTTTACTACAACGAAATATAAAATTGGCAAAGTGATTTCAAGCGCATGGTGAAATTGCAAACAGCATCGATAATCGTCATATTGCGATATATATATATATATATATATATATAGCGGTGGCTATTTTTAAAAAGTGCTATCTCGATGACGTACATTTATATAGCCGACATCTGCCTCGCTTGCCTTGTGGCCTCCTGGGACACTATAACAACGTAATTGCATGAGGCGCTTGATACACAAATACCCCATTGCTACCACCCCATTGTTTTTGCCGACGGTTCTGGCAGCGGCGTGGCCTAATGGAACCGCACGCGTGGAGTCGTGTTGTAGATAAATAAAGTCGTCAATCTCTAGTATTTCCGAACTGGCCTAATCAATTTTGATGGTGTTGCTATATTTGTCGTTATTGCTAAGGCCTAAATGAAAATACATAGAATCGGACAAGGCGCTTTTACAAAATTTAGTAAATAAATTGTCCTGACTGCTATTCCGTTTGCTGCGGACCTGTCACATCTAATTATACAAGGCCAACTCTTGAAGGCGTTATAGGTAATGGAATTATTCTGAATGAGCAAAATACTTTCTTCGGGTGCTGTACTTGTTTATAGAGTAACGTAGACTAACCAAGATCCCTTCTCAACATGCAAAACCAATCGAACGCCATATTTTCACGCCATATTGCTATTATTTTAAGCTGCCTTCGCTGATTTCTGACTCGAAGGGATGCAATCATTTTTTTGTTTTGAAATAACCTCCTTCTTTCCGTTCCATTCTTAAGACAAACTCGTAGTTTGTCGACTTAACAAAGCACGACTTTTCTCCGGCAAATTATACGCTCCTACTTGCGAAAAGATAACCTTATAAATAGCTTAGCACACTTCCAAGCACAGATCTGTTCTGGACAGATTTTTGCACTAAGGTCCAGATCGAGTGTAAAGCTTGATGTCTGCACATGGATATACATCACTGTACACAATCGGAAGCGAATACGTATGTATATGTGCTATTTAACATTGGAATTGAATTCGTACTTTAGGATAATACAGAGATGATTTGTACTTTAGCAGTGTCGATTTGGATACAACGTTCAGAAGATTTTCTGTACAGGCTCTTCGTGGATCTGTAGCCATTGGGGTAGTGGGTAGTGGCTTTACAGAAGCATCTACCCTATACGAAAAGCGGTCCTACTGCATAATAATCATGTATGCCGCATTTTTGTCGTATTATATTTTGTGGTGTTTCTGCATCTACAATTCGCTTACTAAATTAAACAAAGATTTAAAACAAATTTAAAACAGACCTGAATAAAGAACGAGCACCTATTCTGCAAAATCGGGTTGGTGAAGAGGACAGACGCAGAAGGCTCTATCCATGGACCTTGATCAATTTGATCGTCGTCTAAATTCGTTGTCAAAAAATTCACATGCCTTCCAATGGGGAAGTTCACGTAGCCGTCTGCAATGGAATGATGCATCGAAATGGTGCGCGGAAGGGCGGTCGTATGGTGACGATTTGTATGATTTTGAATCGAATGGGAAAGAGCCATAGGCGGACGCGTATCATTATCGTTATGGCTTGCCGCCGTGTAGACGAAGCCGCTATCCGACAAGATGACAGGGTCGCTGTTGGAAACTCTCAGTACAGGGTGATGACCTACATCATTTCCAATAGCCAACATGTGACCGTAATTACGGTCGGAGTGATGCAGGCAATAGGAGTGCTCGTTTGACATTGGTTCTCCTGCTGATGCTGCCCCCGATGAAGCCGATGTTTGCGGAGGCGGAGTAGGAACCAAGCGGACGTCTTTGGATATAGGTCGGCCACTGAGGTTGTGTGCAGCTAGAAACAGTTGCCGGGAAATAGGATCCCGGGACATCAATTCGAGTTCCTGCTCCAGTGCATTAATTCGCGCGTCCTGTGTAATACGAGCAGGCGTCTTGTCAGTTATTGTACGGGCTTTGTAAACGGTGGAAAGAAACAAAATAGAAAGTTTCTGAGGGAAGCGGAGGAAGATTCATTATAAAAACAATGTGCTAGTAAGATATGGCGGCTGGTAATGCAAAGAAAATCCATTTATTGACTTACAAGTGGAAAAATGTGAGTATGATAGCATTAAAATGTACACTTTTTTTTCAAGGGAGACGCGCTGTAGTTTCAGTCGTAATACAACAAGATGTCGTAATACAAGATGACAATAGAACGTACACAACGAAGTGTCAGGAGCAAAAGAATTGTTTTTAGTTGCTGCTAAGTTCAAGAGTACCATAATAGTAATGTTTTATAATTAGGCATATTGCAGTGAACGACGAGTAAAGAAGTTATTTGTTGGCTGAGTTGAGATGACCAATGTGATTATTTGGGACCTTAGTTTCGATGATAGCCTCTAACAGCGCGATGTGATCTTGGATGTTTTTTTCCGCGATGATCACTTCCTGTCGGAGTAGCCTAGGTTCTCTGGGGACTGCAGGTGAATGGGGGGAACTTGAAGAGCCGGTCGAGCCTCCTGCAAGGGAAGACCATTTGACACCCGACTGTCGTCGCAGCTTTGGTGTTTGTGTCTCCCGATCAATAAGATTTCGTTGGCGGCTCTGATCTTGATGTGGCTGATGTTGAAATGTTCTTATCGCTGGCGCTGTAGCATAGGAGACCGTTACAGAGCAGGGGTCGCACTGTGTAAGTAGGGAAAAATCGTTGAATACAAAAATTTAAACAAAAGCTGAAACTATATTTGAATACCGTACAATTATGGTAAATGTGTTCTTCAATTCAGCAATAATTCAACTAAGATAGTAAAATGAAAAAAATATTCTAAGAAAAATGATGATGATAAACAAAAACGCGCCACAGGGCTAATCTCACAAAACAAATTCAGATTAAACCGAATTTTGCCAATTCCAGAATGAAAAAGACAATCGCTACTAACTAACGCTATTATTCGTCATTTTACGTAGAATTCATTGCATAATATAGTCAATGAGTACATATTCCGCCAAAAGTATTTTCAGTCAGGAGGAATGGCTTTTTATTGTTTTTTTCGATGGAGGACGAACTTCTAAATTGAAGATCATATCAGCTCCTCTACCGCAGCACGGAACATAGCAACTTTCCGGTCCAGACACTCAGGGCTTGTATTATCATCTATGCTGTAGCACTCGAATGGATAATAATTAACCCAACGACAGGGGTATATTCTGGAAAGCTGTTATCAGAGAGACACCCACTGCAGCTCTTTTAATAGGCTAGTGTTGTGCTAATGATACGAAAAAAAGGCGTTAAGAAAAAGAAAAAAAAGGCGTGTGCGTCGGTTATGTGATGCAGGTAATCACCCTTTTGTTGTCTAAATGCTTTAAAGATAATTAACTTTTAGTAAAAATAGTACTTTCGGTGGCTTCAAACAGGTTTGCTATACACTGCATATTGCAGTGAAACATTTTAAGTGGAAGATTCCATCGTATCCTGAACGTCGTCATCGCTATGAACATGACTGACATGCTCACGACGTCATACGTTTGCCGTTCCCTCATCGAGAGGAAGCAAACAGAAGTTACGTTGAGACAAACAATAAACGGGTTCTCATTAGTAGTAGTAATACTGGATGCGTTAAGTAGTTTCGATTTTTGCAAAAAGGATCTCCTTTCAACTAGGGTTAAAACGCCAATTAGCACTATGATCGGTTCACTGTGCAGTCGCTGAATTGAAAACTCACCGTTCTACAATACTTTTCAATTTGTAAAGCCGGCTTACACATTATTGACAGCTATTTAAAAATGATTTTGTAACGAAACATACAGAACGGGGCCTTGTGACTTGGGATAGGTCGTTGAGAAGTAACGTTCGCTTTCAACTTAGGCACGTGAAACTTGCGATGGTTTAACCATCTACGTGTAAATAAGCGAAAATATCTGCCGCTTAATAATAAATGTACATATGAGCGGAAGAACGGTTGGCATTTTACTAATTTACATTGATTGCAAAGCCGAACTATTCCATGGCAATAACGAGGCGAAAAACATAGAACAATTGTTGTAAGATGTGTACAAATTTGGTGGGCATCCAAAACTGATGCCCAACCAAAACGAGCAACTGGTTTGCTGGACTTCTGACGTCTGTCGTGGAAGTAAGCCTGCAACGAAGCTGAAGGTGTCAACGTTGCGATGAAACGGAGTCAGCCATTGCGTTAGCTCCTATGCCATGCTCAGCAACCTATGGCAATATAAAAATGATTAACCATAAATGGTGACTGAATTGGTAATTAGGCAGGCGCTATTAAACAATCGGGAACAAAATTCTGTACTTTATATATATACACTTTATATATATATATAAATGCAAAATATATAGAGTATATATATGAAATACACAAGGATGAACTGGTCAAACGAAGCTGGCTGTTCAAACGGCAGTCTGCGACCTCCTTTTTGTGTCTACTAAAGCTAACCATGTTGGAAAGTGTTTATGTCATATTTCGTTTTTTTGGTATATTCATTGAATTATTTTGCAAGTCCGCATTGAAAAATCTGCGTCTAGTAGTAGTTTAATATGCCGTTCTACTAACATTTCAAGCGACTCCTAATGATATGTCCATAGTGTTAATCTGTTTATTTATTCAGGTGAAAACAGAAACCCATAGGGAAAGCATGCCTTAAAAATTGCCTATGTGAGATAATTGATGCCTTTTTTTTTTTTCCTAAATGTAAAATACGTGGATTGTATCTATTTACATTACTTTGCAGGAAGTGTTCTGAGAACTTCATAGCTTAATCTCAATGTAACCACTCACTTGCGCGGCCTCTTTTTCCCATTTCTAATATCGCTGACAGCTATCTAATATCTTCCTCGTTCTTTTCATTTCGGTCTCTGCGAAAGCCACACGTGAGGCGTCTGGCGTAGCCAAGAAAATATGAGGTTGTCCCAAGACGACAAAAAGCGTCCAAGTTCAACTTTTTTTTCGTCCGTGGCTGCAGAGATATACAGTTAACTGCTCTCATAGCAACGATTAGGTACCTTTACACAATAATCAATATTTTTTTATGTCTCGTTAACACTCTCACCTATTTTCTTCATATCAATAATTCTTCAAAATCCCCCCTTTTAGGTAAAAACAATCAAGGACTTACCCTTACTAGAACTCTAATGGGAATGGGCCTTGCTTAACTTACCTGGGATTTCTCCAACAGAGCCGATCTTGATTTTCTTCAATCTTTTATTCTCCTGGTTGTTAATCTTTGATAACCACTTTTAAGATTTAAATCACCGCGGCAGTAAGCTTGCTAGCCACGGTTACCATAGTAACGGACTCAAAAGATAGCTTGGACCGCCATTTTGAGGATACATAGTTAGCCGCTCATAGATTTTTTCATTAAAACAAAAAGTACTGTTCTTCTGTTGCTTAGTATAATAAATAGTGTATACTTGGCGCTAATGAACGTATATACGACTTGTAGTGTAAACCGGTTCTCCTGGAACGTTACTATCGTGCTAGCATTTTTATCCTCATTTTGCTGTACATGTGGGGTTACACAGGTTCTGTCGATAGGTCATTACGAGCGCAATACGAAGTTCTACTTATTAACAGCAGATACATCTAACTATTGAACTGGATATCCGAGTTGCTACACAGATTTGTGGCATGTGTAATGAAACCTCCGTATAAATTAACCAATAGGAATAAAGCTGACCGGAAATCTGTATATTATTGCATAGTATACATTCGAGTTCGATTGAAACAAATACTAGCAGGAATAGATAGTTATTCTGATTTTAGGTTTATTAAAGTAGAGCAAGCAAATATTTGAACTGCATTCCCATTAACAATAAGAGTGATCGACTGCTGTCTCTCACGTTCTTCTGTTAGGCGTCACGAGCTGATAATAAAAGCTGCACTATTTCCTTACCTTGCTGTGTCAGATAGTATGAGATACTTTATTAATGAAACTATCATATAATAAATAGTATGACTGATTTTGGCTACCTAACATAATCTCTGCATAATAATGACTATAGATAGGTTGCAGGGGGTCGCTTACAGGTACCTGTTAGTTCCTCTGGCTCTACTTAGCAGAGGTCGAAAAGTCCTGTCAAATTATGCTCTAAAACCTGTAACATGTAGACTGTTATATATGTCAAAGCTACGAGGCTGGTCCAAACAAAAGGGGGGAAGGCCACTGTTTGAATATCTAACTTACTGCCATATAGAATATTCCGCCGAGCTGTAGCTCCAATATAAACCACAAACGATTTATGACAACTTATAATATCAATAAAACTACGTGCAGCTTGAAATAGTAGAGGATACCACAAAATTTTATAGGAATATGAGCGTTTAGATATTCGTGCTAAAAACCTTAATTGAATGTTGCTTTTACCTTTGAAGTCACTTAACACGGATTTGATGTAATTGTATAAGCCATCATATTGTAGTATACGACTGCATACACAAAAAACGGAAAAGAGTGTTTATACTGACCTGTCGGTTCTTGCCCAGGTCACCCCGGTCCTGATCTCTTTTAAGGTTTTCTAACATGGACTCGAGGTGCCGGGTGCGGGCTTCCGCCTCGATGAGTCTCCCCCGAAGGCGCTCGTTCTCGATGCGCTGTTCATCGAGAAGCTGGGAGCCCACACCCTTTGACGACTGCAGCATCTCCATCAGCTTCTTGATACTTTCGTCACGGGCGGCTAGCGTCTGTTTCTGCGTTTCTATGCGAAGTTCTAGTTCCTGCAAAGCGGTAGGAAAGTATGCAAACGCCTTAACTGAGTATGTGTGATTTGAACAAAAGTGCTGCAAATGACCGTCCCAACAGATGTGTTTCCGTATTCTAATTCAATGGGAGTACAGCAAATCCCACGGCACTTGTCCTAAATAGCATGATTAACACAATTTCTGGGTGTGTAAAGGATTTGTTGCTAGAATAATAGATTAGCAGTGCATGCTAAATAGTAATTAAGTTCATAATAATATAATTAAGTTTGATTGTTCTAGAAAAAGTCCTTGAAAAATATTTGGTTGGCTGGGGTTCGTTTTGACGTGAGATTCAGTCCACTGCATTTTTATCTTGTTTTTTGCTTAAATCATACAATCTTTGCTTACTGTTTTGGTATCTTTTCATTCTGTACGCGACCATATGTACGTTCAACGCCAGAGAGCTCAAAGTCGAAAGGATCCTAGCCAGTTTCGAGCTCAGTTGAATTGATCGCACGGCATTTTCGATATTTCCCTTTGGAAAAGCTCTCGCATGATTTGCCACCTACTGTTACAATACAAGCATGTCTCTGATTAGCAACACGGAGTGCTACACAAATATTTGATGGCTCTCCTCGCAATTGTAGAAGGCTATACGCGAGACAAAAGCATACTTGCTAGTATAGTGATCACAACCTGGTAAAACCGCCTTGACGAGTCACTGGTTAAATTCTTTCTACCTAACAATGTAGAAGCTGCAAGTTCTTTTCGGAAATGTTCATGCTAGTCTTCGATGTCGGTCAATGTCTGTTAATACTCTCCAAGATCGCATTATGCAGTAGTCTTTGTTTTACAAATCTGGAAGCAAGCATTATTTTCTTATAGGAGGACATATCCCACCTGCGATGCAAACGTGAAATTTCAAGTCTCGAAGAACGGCGACACCAACCAAAAAAAAAGCAACTTCAGGAATAATCTTTTATTTCAGATAGCACAATCTATTATTTGAAATTTTTTTTCATAAGTACTTCTGTATAGAGCCTGATAACGTTGGCGTCTGTTTTATAGATAATAGCTACTTGTCGTAGATGTGCACCTAAAGATCTATCAGGAGGCCCCAGAAGGACATTCTGCTACGGACCATAACCTTGACACTGAAATTGCGGCTGGACTTTTGTGATTACTGAGCGTATTCCACTACCACTATGCAGCGTCTGGAAGATGAACGGAATGAACAGCATTTCTGCTATAACCTCTGGATGTAGTTAAACGGTTATTTTTGATGGCTCATTTTCCCGAAACAATATAGTGGAAATAATAGAGATGTCTAATATACTCATCATTGGCGTTTATCATTGTTGTATAACACATTTATCTTCCCCTTCGCCAGGTACCTCTACTAACGGCAATACGAAAGTATTTTTACAATAAAGGAAGAATGTCAAAAATGGACTAAACAAAATACATAACAGTGCTACGACTATGATGTTCTTTCCTTTGTTTAAGGGATGCGTCCTTAACAATGAACCTACGTGGTATAGGCTCTGCATCGGGTGTAGGAACAACTTTAGTTCGACTTACGGAACGGGTCCTCAGCACTGAAACACGGTAGAGATGACTCGCTGAATAGCGAACTGTTTCATATTAGTTCTTTCTGCGTGTTTATTTTTCTATGTTTCGGCCACGATAACATCCATTTTGCATCTATTTCAGCCGTTCGTTTGTCCTCGTGTCAGATGAAGTACAGATAGGCGGGCTTTTGCGGTAGACGAAATTCATTATGGACCCCCATTGGCTAGCGCCATTTCCGCTATCAAGTACACGAAGCGGTTAAAACAATGTTATCTTGAGAAAAGTAACAACCATTTATAAATATACTGCTCCGCCTCAAGCAAGTCAACAGCTTTTCGGGTACCAGAATGCTGCCTTCATCTAGCTCGGTAGACCTGTATGATCTGTACTATCTTTGCAAGTGGAGAAATTCTTGGGTAGATCTGGGCCTACATGTATCGCTGAACCGTAAGTTGTTAAGACGAGGCCAGCTGCGTACCCGATGCTATCTATTCCCTTACGTTTCATTGGATTTCAAGGTCATTCCGCCCGCATATAGTGGGCACAGCTAAAAGATATCAACAATTCCAAACTCTTCGTGTCGAGTCGATAACCAGTCACAGGCTATTTACAGGTTGTCATACATAATAAAATATAGTTCACAACAAGTTGTATGGCTCTTAGATTAAAAGACAAGACATCACCGCACTTCCGCGCATTTTCTTACCCTCGAGGGTTGTCTGAATATATTTGTATTCTTACTCTATGTATGAATATAATTAATGATACAACTATTACAGACGGGAAAATCGGTTCGTTTAGCCTATGACAAGCATAAGAAGAAGAACAGAATAGAACAAAAATTGACACTTCCACATCGGAATGCTCACCGAGAAAGGAGCAAACAGATCGGGTTGTAGCGGAGGCAGAAATTGGGTTGATTCTGTGGTCTTCTGTCTTGGATAACCAAGAACAGCATAGCACACATATCTACACACGCGTGTCGCAAACACAATCGTACGATAGCTATACTAAACCTCTTGGCTATAGGTATGTTGGCAATTTGCAGAATTCTCTTGCATTCCACTTTATATTAGAAACTTGCCCTTACGGCGGCTCAACGTTGAGACCCTTTTACCTTCACATTACGTACGTGTGCTTTGAATGTTGGACATGTAATATATATCATACGTTTACGCTGCAGTGGTTGCACTATCTGTGACAGGAAATATTGTTGAACTGCTTTAAACTAGATCAAATTACGATGATCTGGCGTTGATTCAGGATATACATGCATGGCATCAATACACCGGATTCAATCTGGTGTATTAATGCCATCGCAGGTCCTGTAATAGCTATAACGATTGGAATATCAACCTTTTTATGTCAGTTTGCCCATAGTGATCAATGTTACCCTTAGAGTATCATAGAGCAATATGTGCTTAATGGTGGGTCCTGTGATAGGTTAACAAATCCTGTGTGGCGGCAATACTATGACGTTATATTTGGGGCTTGCGTCTTTGAAAGCATTACTGTCAAAATGACTATCTGGTAAGGGTTGCTTCTGGCCGGAGTAGGTACCGCCATCGTTTCGGTCTTCTTTCTGTTAAAACAGGCACATTATTTCTGCCCGTATACTAAGTCCCGGTGAAGTAATGAAACAATTTTTGATAATTTATTATATTTATGAGGCCGACAAATAGAGTCGAACGATTTGGTCAAGCCAGTAATTTATGTATACTAATGCCGTTTTTGTGGTACGAACAGTCCGCATGTCGTATGAATGCATTGAAACCACAGATGCTGTTTTTAATTTTCTATCAAAACAAATAGGACAAGTAAATGCAATTTAATTCCAAAGAATTAAGACTGTTCCCGATTTGATCACTATACTGTGAGTAAAAAACTCCGTCAGTTGCTCTTGCGTTCGCGCACCGCACTCCTTAGCTGTAGAAGCTGTAGAAAGCGGCAAACATGGGAATAATTATGTCGTTCTCTATAAACCATTCCGACTATTGTTTTGTAAAGGTAGTAAGCCGGTAATGCTCGACAAGAGATTAAGCGATTGGCTGTGAAAGATAACAATACTTAGCCTAAGTAGGTTAGGACTCTGCAGGGTGTCGTTCTGCAAAAGCCTGGTCCGGCGTGTTTCCCAACTTGCGGGTCTGTCACTTCAACTTTGAATAAGTGGCACCTTCTCATTTCTTTCTTTATTGGTCGTTGGGCGTCTGTAATAATAGTGTTGTTGCGCTAATTCAGCATAGCCTTCTCAAAGTCTTCTAGGTATCCTTGTGCTTCTGGGCCCTTGGCAGTTTGTAAGTGCACTTCTTTCAGCGTTGCAGATTTTCCATGTCGGCCTACCTCATGGCGATTTCGTCAATAGGCCCACCTGTCCTAAGGTGCTCAATATTCGCTGGCCACACCGTCGCACTTTTTTCTGCCTGTTTTTAGTTAAACAAAGGTTACACACATTCGCTGTTCCAAAAGAAGATACAGTGTGCAAAATGGCTGTCTTTCGATTGTAGATTAGGATCTAATTTATGTCTCACGAATAGACAAACATAATTTTCACTGGAAAATGCTTAACGGTGGATGCAGTACAGCCACCACACGTTTAGCCTGAGAAGTGCCACAGCAAAATACCGTGGATAGCACTTCGAGGACGGTAGTGGTACATACGAATTTTCTTATTATTTACTTATGTATTATTAAGAGTATCAAAACGACCGTCACTGGCAGAAGAGTCCAGTAAACCATCGAGAGCCACTTCTTTGAGCTACTTACCATCACAATAATGAATCAGAATCCATTTCAAAAACTACCGGTACCTCTGTTTTTCAATAAAGTGCAATTTATTTGCGGCCGAAGGCAGTAATAGAACAAGATGAACATTGCTACGATGGAATTGGACACACTCTAATTTCTATTCTTCTCTATGGAGGGCCGCTATTGTGTCATCTTTTTTTGAACTTATCTTTCTTTATTACCCAATAGCGCATACTGAAGTAACAAGGTCCAGGTTGCTCAAGTCATGTATCAACCACCCAGGCCGAAAAAATCGCAGTATTCATTGGGAACACAGATATACATATATAGATAGACAGACATCACGTTCTGATTCCCAAAGATCTACGACACAAAAACGTCAGTGTCCATTCTTCAAACATTTTACAATATCTAGGTAAGAACCGTTGAAACTCCTCAGTACCTCACCCTATACGTGCATATTATGTCGATATATATATGTATCGACAAATAATCTATATAATAATAATAAACACCCGAAAAGATTGTAGCAGCAGGTAATGATAAAAGGTTAACATACATTAAATTGGAAGAGTTCCCTTCATTCTTTGCTTCAAGGAGAACTTCCTGCACTCTATGGCACGATTACTTTGATTCTGTTTTGTCCTCAAAAGGAAATTGCGTACGATATCGGATACTAGCAGAAATACGAGTTGAATGAATATTTGATTGAAATTGATACTCATTTAAGATAGAACAATTTTACATTGAGCAATCCATCGTTTAGGGATTCATGCAGCGTAAGTGTGAGTTAAACCACAGAAGTTAACCATCTCCTCACACGCATATGGATACGCCCAAATAGTAACCTGGGCGCATAAATACAACTGAAGTTGGACATCTTTGAAAGGTTCACGAGTTGTGTCGAGGCACTCGTGTCGAGAACGGTAAGTGTATACATGAGTATGTGTGAGAACAATCGAGAAAGAGAGAGCATTAAGGAAAATCCTTGAGCGCTTTTGAAAGCCTTATGTCTGCTTGTGAACTCCAGGTAGAAAACAAGTCCAGTCATCCATCCATCCACTGAGATATTTAAGTACTCAATACGATACGGTTATCGTAGTTGTCTTGAGAAGCGCATATGGACATTAAAAGATTCACCGTCTGTTTCCTAGCTGTGATGAATAACTGAACTGTTCACCATTCTCAACAAGAGGTCCTGCACCTAAACACCCTTATGTTGGCCTCTAATATATTTCAATGACTATACGGTGGCGGAAGAACCAATAGTACTGGCTGCAGGTACAGAGGAGAAAAGACACCTTGCACGGAAGGAAGGCCTGACCGTTACTAAACCGTCACCGATCTATTGCTAACTCTACCTCTGAGCTCATGAAAGAGGAGATATTGCGTGCACGAACACCCGTGTGATGTTCGTGCACGCAATATCTCCTCTTTTACTACACAAACAAGCCTGCCTTATAGACCGCCTTTAGGTATTTAACGTCTATGGTAGTTTAATTATCTGTATTTAACGGTCCTACGTCGAAAAATAAAAAAAAAATTGGAAAAGAAGGTGTTCAACTGACATGATGTCTTCAGGTGAGTACCACAATATCGTAATAACAGTATCATGTGCGTAGTGTATGAAGTTCTATCAACCGTACCATCTGATAATGACCTACCTTGATGGTCTCCCTTAGCAGGAATATCTCCTTGGTCATGTGGTCCTTTTCAGCGTAAAGTGCGTCGAGGTGCGACTGCAGTTCCGCGTCGGGGTTGCGCTGCATGTGAGCGATGCGAAGTTCTTCCTCCAGCTGCCGGATCAGTGCTGTTTGTTTCTGCTCGGATGTCGGAAGGCGCATCAGAGAGTGGCGAAGTATTGAAGGCGCATGGCATTTTTAAGGTTCGTTGAGTGGGTTTACACCGTGCAATAACAGCCGTGTCACATGCAATGTAAGCATAAGTTAGTAAGTGTCATTTTAAACTTTACTGGCTTCTCTCTTTCAGGAAATGGTTATTAAGTGCGTCAGCGGCAGCATCATCCAGTGAACCAATCTAGTCACCTATCCACACACAGACACAGAAGTCCGATGGATATAAGTTGTTTGCGCGTGACCCCGGTCATCTAATTGTTCTATAGCCTTCACTATGTTGCTCGTAACTGTGATACTTCCGATCTTCAAGCCGTGAGTGTATAAAGCGTCTAAATTAGACGGATATAGTCAACGTTCAGCTGCTGAGGTCGACTGGCAACAAGCGGCTTAGACATCTTTGCTATCATGCTGTAACACTGCTACTAGTCTAATACATTATTACGACAGTTACGCCTATAAGGGAATAGCTGTCACATACTGTAAGCTCATTGTATAATCCGGCCGAACTAAGTGACGGACAGGGGCCAAGCAAGCGTCAGCCAGTTACTTTCCTTGTCATTACTTTCTTAATCTCCTATACATTCTTGTTAATCCCTGGTTGCGAAATCTTATGATAGAATGAGATCTTGTGGTAGCAACTTTTTCAGCTGGGATCGATCACAACTTTTTTGCTACCTGGTCCACGCAGTCGACAGAGTTTCAACTAAACGGCTTTGCGCTGACACGACTGTCTGCATCTGTGCGTGGTCACTAGGACAGTATGTAACTATTGTTTGTGGGCCCATCTCTACTTTGCTTTATACTAATATAGGAGTATTGCGTAAGGTTACGTTTCGACTGGTGCTTATGATGTTGCCGCCGCTCGACACTCATCCCGCTATGTACGTACTCCTACTACTATTTCCCTGTCTCCGATTACTATCCATTGGGTTGCTGCTGCCCCGACAGCGGACCCTCCTTGACAAGCCTCGCGACTTATTTGGTTTTCGCTGATTGTGTCGCGGATCGTTCTTTTCTAGCTTTTCCCAACCGCGGGGTCAGGGCAAGGGCGAGGTCCGCAGTGACGGGGGTTACCTTTGACATGTATGAGGGGTCTCCCAGGGCTGATGCTGGTCGTGGGGCGACAAGATTGTTCGTAAGGGATGAGGGGTGATTTGTATTGGTCTGTCTGCCACTGGCGGTTTGTTGCTGTGAGGTTGTGGTCGTGGCCAAGGAGCTGTTCGTGCCCAGAGGGTGTCCCAGGGCGGAGGACGGCCGCGCCCGGCCGAGAGCCGAAGCAGGTCGGTTGAGGCTCAGCGGCTTCCTCAGCCCATCGGAGAGCAGCAAAGAGTCGCCAAGCGCCCTGCCCACGCCGGCGTTGCCTACACCTATGCTACCTGGCGTAGGATGGTGATGGTTAAGCTGAGCTGCACTACTAGCTAGCCCAAAAGAGCCTACTACAGAGTGACTATTACTGGCACCCAGGCCGCTACCGAGACCGAGGCCAGGGAGGCCAAGGCCAGCGCTGCCTGGAGGCGCAGTCAGCGAGGTGAGCGCCTGAAGGCGGCTCGAAGGCCGAGATGAGGAGCTCCCATAGAGACCCGCCGAACGCCCGAGCAGCGAACTTGCCGAGCCCGCAGTCTGAAGAAACAGCACACGACGCCCCATCATCGCCATGATCATCATCGCGTCAGTCATCAGTGTTCCATCGCGTTGCGAGAGTTAGCGCGCGAATCAGAGAGACAAAAAAGACACAAGAGAAAAGAGAGAGAGAGAGAGAGAGAGAGAGAGAGAGAGAGAGAGAGACAGAGAGCAATTACCAATTAGAATTAGCACAAGCACTGGGCCTGGTGCTTTATTGCTCCCGTGTGTCATGGATCACGAGCCCCCGATCCAGACGGTTGACAAAAATCGCAACCTGTGTGATCTAAAAGGAAATGAAGTACCATATAAAAGCAGGGTCCATAGTGCTTGGCAGATAGCCATAATGGAGCTTCATATCGGCCTATCACCGCAATTAGCGCGAGTTTCGCGCCAAGCTAAATAAACCGTCACTGTATCAGTGGTACCCCAGTAGAAATTTAGACCACTAGAATACGACTCATGCTACATCGGACCCAACCATGAAAGGGAGAAAACAAAAACGCTAACGATACTGTAGGAAAGGAGCAACATCTGGTCCTAAAAGAAGACGAGCCTTCAATGGCTCCTTGAGCAGCACTCAAGATAAATGGAGTACGGAAACAAGGGCGGAAACGAGCGAGCAGACGACAAACTGCGGCACGCATAATATTTGCTCCGCCGTGGATTTTAGCTGCGCATCACCGAAAAGTGTTTGCGAGAGGGGAGAATCAGATGATCGAATCGGCTACGAAGAATTCAAAACTGAAAGGCTGGGGGAGAAGACTAAAATCAAGAATTGACAAAATTATTAAAAATAAGTGGATAGGAGAGGAACTTGGTGAGGCCTAAAATTAATTCTACGGGGACGCTTCTAAGAACGATGCCCAACGTGTCCTGTGGAAAGATCATCGAGTGCCTCTTGCAGGTTTCCGCGAGGCCTTAATTCTATGGTCCTTTGCTAGCAAATTCGAAAAGTTTACCGTGAGCATTCATCACATACTCAAGAGCTGTTTTGATTTTAGGCGATGTAAAAAATGCTCTATAATACCGGAAAAGCTGAGTATTAGGTAGGAACAATAGCGATACTATAACGTAAACTCAATCGCTCACTATCGTCAACAGCCCCCAACTAAAGCCTGACCCAAGTTTCAGAATGAACAAATCAGTGACATCAATCAACGTAACGTTCTAAACATAATTGAAGACACCAAATTTAATATGTAGTTAATAACAAAAGTACCAATTACGGCAACTCGAGCGGGTCTCTGTGTGAGTTTGTTTCTAGAGTCTTTTGAATTTGTTGATTTATTTGCTTGGCAGTTTCGCACTGTCTACGATGCTCCCATAGAACAACAGACGTTTAGACGTTAGCAGTTTCGCATCCCCAGCCATCAACTTTATACTGAGAGATTAGGGAGAGTAACAGTGACCATTATAACAACACGGATAATAATCTTTAATCTTACTAGGCTAAGTGCTCTACCCTGACCAATAGGACCAACAGCGATAGCAGCATGGGATAAGATTTACGTTCGACCTAAATAGGTCATTGAAGGACAGGCGATGAGCTGTCCAAATATGTACACAAGCATGATTTGTCAAGGGCGAAGCTGAAAACAGACCTGAATCTACTCATACGTAAGTCGGCTTACCTGAAAGGAGGCCAGCCACACCTCACAGCCCCCTCAACAACAGCACGACAACAACAACAGCCAACCCACAGAAGACCACCCTCTCTTTGAAGAAAGACGGCAACAAACTTGTTTCGATAGCACTCGGAGACAGTAATGTGACAATATCTAACCATTGACAAGCACAGCATCTAAAGAGCTGACCAGATTACAGCTCGCTTTTCCTCTATAGTTTTTTTTTTCTTATTTTTCTTTTTATGGACGACAGTGGAGTCGGCCGCCAAATGGCTCGCCGTGTCGTTGGCGTCCATCTAAGGACCACTGATTACTGAACTGACAATCGCAGGCCAATCACATTGAGGCGGTACAAGTATCTGTGAACGATAACCACCAACGCATTGATATCATATTGTGGTGTCAATAGTCGACAACTGATTAGACGACCTCCGTCCAATCAAATCAGTCGCCGAGGGATCCGTGAGGGCCAACCCTCGGAAATCTTAACAATGGACATCTTGAGAGAGCTACTGGGTTCATTCCTTTACTTTTCTGCTGTGTCTGAGCGGTGCAAATCGAAAACGAGTCGTAAACAAATCAGTGAAATAAGGTACATACTCGTTAATGCACTGACTATGGTAGAAATTAAGCGGATGATGAGAAATACTAAAAATACGTGCGGTTTATTTCTCAAGATGGGCTGCAGGCCGGAGCAAAACATGCACAAAGGACTCGGACGTAATGATAAACAGTTCTCATTTATCGCATATCATCATTCTCCAGTCATCTATTTAATATTCTATAGCTTAACTCTTCGGGCCAAGGCAACCTCGATAGTTGGGCACATATTGCCTTTTAATAAAGGCGTTGCGGGTATACAATAAGAACGGCTACGATGCGGTGAATTACCTACGAAGCAACTGGAGCCTAACATTATTAGAAATACCTTTTAGAGCTAATTTAACGTTTGATTAAGGAAATGTAGGCTTAGGGTTTAGGCTAGCTTGAAAAAAGGGCATAAAGCAATAAAACATAACCGAAAAGGCCATTGTTCTTGGCATCGACCTGTAAAGTAACCAGCTCCGAAGCCTAATTTCACTTAGTGGCAATAGTTGTGAGGGAAACTGACTTAGAAGTTTTATACCCAATGATTTCTTAGATTATATATATATATAAATTGAAACGCCGCCACTCTCACGTGTTAAGTAATGATAAAAACAAGAGAAATGTTTCCGCATAGATAGTGTTATAACCGTAATAACGAACAGTTGCTGTATATAGATGGCTTTATATAATGCCCGCTTTTGGTCCTATGGCATTGTATTTGATACAATATATTGTGGTAGAATGTAGAGTGTCTAATATCGTGTCTGCCATATTTCCGAGCGCTCCAGTTTATTTCCTCAAGTTATTATAAAATTCGATAACTTGTGCTCTTTAGAACAAGCAAGCGCAGAAGCGCTGGAAAGACAATCTCTTGGTAACTTAATTGTGGGTCGTGTCCAGAGGGAGCCGTCATTTTTACGCTACTATGAATACTATATAATGTAATCGATTACTTCACAATGGATCATATTCAGCGGCAATATAACTTAACTATTACGATGAATTATTATAACTTAACTATTACGATGAATTATTATAGGGACAACTATTACGATGAATTATTATAGGGACGCTATAGGTATACTATGAACAAATCGATGCCAAGAGATGTTTCTCTAGCTTGAGCACTTTTTTTTGGCTGCACAGGAATGGAAGTAGCTTTCTTTTTTCGGCAACACTAATTGAGTGCTACTACATTAAGCTTTACATTGTTATATACTTGCTTTACGTCCGGAGCCAGGTTGCTAACTTTAGGTTCAATTTTCGGCGCTTGTCTAGACGTAGTTTAGATCGTTATTACTATAGATAGATGATTTAGAAATCACTCATTATTTGACTGGCGACTACGTTTGTACGAAAGTGGTTACGGGTAGTTGTCTCAGCCGACAATAAAGAAAATGATGGATCTTGCGACTCATAGCTAAACCAAGCAAACCTTCTACACACGCACAGCTGTCGCGAACACGCTTGATGAATTAGAGGCTTCTCAGGCTCCATTAAGGCTACACGTATCCATTGACATCGGTAATAGGCGACTGTCTTTGTTAGCAATAATTCTGTCCTCAGATAAATTGGTAGCAAATAATCAATTTTAATTCCATTGAACGCACATAGTAGTACTGCGTTTCTTCGAAACACTAGCGTGTGCGTCTCGCAGCTGCCGTAGCAGTGAACAGTAACTTGAATAGGTAAGTTGGCTTCAAGCAACGATGCTCATGTTTGGTTTATTATGAAGCTTCTACTTCCCCCGAGTAAGTCAAACGTTTTACATTAACCGGATCGTAAACTAACATAGCTGTTTAGTATATTCCAAAGATGAATATTACTATAATGATGCTTCTTAAAGACCTTTTTCTATTCGGTTCTATATGAAAACAATACGTTTAGGCGGTAACATCCGTCTTCTGCCTTCAAAAAACAATCTGATTTCGTAATGGTCAGCATCATGTCGGCACGTATTGAAAGCATTGTGTCCTCTTGCTTGTTGCTCCATCATTTTTTTTTTTATCATGTTTGAAGGATTTTTTGAACAAATGATAAATAAATGGGGAAAAAAAAGTCTCGGTCCTTTCTTCTTGGTGATTTGTTTAGCAAGGCTACAAGATGACCTTTGCCCTTAGTCGTTATTTTCAATCCGAATACTTTAGTCATGTCATGCAGGAATCTAGTTAGCTGAATGTAGTGCCGAGGAGAAGACGACTTGCCACCTATAATAAGTGCAGTAGGTAGAAACAGGTACAGTCGCATATGAGTCGGTGACCGTTGTTATATTGGCAAGGCTGTTTGTCCTCTCACCTTAGCGCTGCTCCGTAGAGTCTGCAGCCAATAGGCAATCACCACCACGAAAACAACGCAGAAAGAATCATCGTTAATTTTGTCATATTCAATTGCTCGTTGAACTTCTGCGCATATTTCCCACTTTAACACACTCGACTTGTGAATAATCCACGTAACAGGCAAATGAACGTAGTACCTTAGATAAACACAGGCACTTGCTATTCAAATGAACGTAGTACCTTAGATAAACACAGGCACTTGCTATTCAAATGAACGTAGTACCTTAGATAAACACAGGCACTTGCTATTCAAATGAACGTAGTACCTTAGATAAACACAGGCACTTGCTATTCAAATGAACGTAGTACCTTAGATAAACACAAAACTGAGATTGGCTTTTCATATTATCTCACAATATATATAGATACTAGTTGTCTGAAGGAAATTGTTACGTCATTTGTCTTCCATGAAAAGGCAAAGCAGCAACGCGTTATTGATCTGAAGAGCAAGGGCATAGACAACACGACGTACCAACATGTGGGCGCTCCAGGACGTGCCGCTTTCACCATTCGGAAGAGCTCCGGCCATTATATTTATTGTTCTTGGGGACGCTACGGGACCTTCTTATGGTTTTAGCGGTGCAGGACGCGAGCTGAACTTCATCGAGCGAGCTCCAGATTCAACTAACCACGCCGCGGTCACAGACGCATGACACAGTAGGCCACCGTAGACAAGGACGCTGAGGGCGCGGATGGCCGAGTTTGGATTCTCTGCCATCGGGACAACGATATGGCACAACCCACGTCAACCAAGAGACAATGTTGGCAGCAGTAGCAGTTGCTGCCAAGTTCCCGCCTAGGGGGGAGAGAGCACAAGTCGCTCTCCGATGCGACCAGACACTGAGATGATCGGAGGAACTCAGTTGTTACAGTATGGTGGTAGCGTTGTGGCGTCAAAGAAGTGATTATGTGCTTTTGAAGCTGGCACAACGAACTCCTAACGCCACCTCAACAGCGGATTCAGGTTAAATGAAGAGTAGGTGGTCGTGGGCCTTGTCTCAAATGGGCAAGACGTGCTAGCCTGAATCAATGTAGCGCGTCATCACCGCAGCAGACGTTTGCTAACTGGACGCTTGGCAGTCACTCACTCACATTCGATACCCGCTGCAATGACAGTTGCTGTGATCGGCAGAAAGACGGACGAGCAGATACAGCCATTGACTGAGACAATTCACTGCGGGTGACGTTTACGTTTGGTTCTCACGCGCTGTTCCTGACCACCGGGCCACATAGGACGTCAGGAGCTTAAACGAAAGATTGCATAGATAGCTTTCCACTGCGGCTGACACCTCAATAAGCATTAACCGCAGAAGCGAAGCGCTTTGTTACGAACCAAAATCAAAGGTGACGGCAGGCGGCAGTCGTTGAGATGCTGACGCTGCTGAGGTTAATACAGTAATTGAAGGTATTGGTTATAAAGAACTCGATTGCAATTGTAGTTTTGTTACCGATAGAAGCTGAGAAACCTGTATTTTGGGTCATATATCGACGACTACATTGAAACGATATAAAATTATCGCGGTCACTATGGAGGACACTGATCTTTTCCCAATATAGACGTCAGTTCAATTTCTAAGTTTCTGAATGGTAAGCGTAAGGTTATTCATCGTTCGAAGCATTGTACCCGTTTTCGTATCGTATCCAAAAGACATTTCCCATACACTACATGTACAGTTAAACCTGCTTAGAAAGTAGAGTGCGTATTTTGTGTGAGAATACGTTTTGGTTTCATCTAAATCTAAAAGAGTGGTACGATGCGCGAAGAGTATCGTTGGGACTGAATTCGACTTCATATGGCCACTTCTTGCTAAAACATCCTGGAAGAGTGCGGACACTGGTTTCAACGAGGCGCTTCGTCAAGACTCGTCCGATGTGAGGTTTTCGACACCATTAACGGCGGTTGCTTTTCTATTGGCTTCAACCTCGAACAACAATAGCACACGGTTTTTACTGTTGTTCAGCTTTGACGTCTGCTCCATATATGTGTATATACATATATACTACATACACTTGTATGTGAGTAGGACGCCAGCGTTAGCCAAGCGTAAAGTTAAGTACAACGGGTGGTGTATTATAATACGCAGTAGCATACTAGCGTAAAGGGAACGTGAGCTACAATGCTCATGAGCGAAACAAACAGAATATTGTCATACATCCACAATGTACAAAAAGTTGTGCGTTCAGGTTTTGAGCAAAGCATCAAGCAATCGTCTGTCGGATGAGTTTCAGGTGAAGCTGCCCTTTAAAAGCGAAAAAAAAGATGACGGTTGAGTGACTATTTTACTAACTTCATAATGACGAGCAGTTTCCACTTGGGCTAAAGCGAAGCGGGTTACGATTTTTTAGGACCAACTTTACCTTGATTACTTATAAACAAGGATGTTGCCATAGTAATATGCTGTTCCGTGATCAGCATATAGAGACCTGGTTCTTTACAGAAGTGGGATCAGAAAAACGTCGTGCTCAATATATTATGCTGGTGCGTTACAAGGCGCAGACTCAGTCGGAGCAGCGTTTGAATTTACAATCTTCTATTCTACATGCGTCTATCAGCTCCGCATTTTTCCGAGCCTGCATTGCTGACTACCAGTGCGTTTCGAAGACTAAAAGGACACAATCTAACAAAATCCGCTCATTGGCCGTAAGCTTCATTTAACCAGGTAAAGGCATCTTGGCCAGACCTGCTGGCCAGATTTCCTGTTGCCGCTATCCGGTTGGGTAACAAAGGCCCTTAGTAAACAGTAGCTTCCCAGCTAAAGAACGTACGTTCTTTTTGCTTACACAAAAGCTTCGTTACATGCAATTGCGCGCTGTTAAGTCTGCGCGGTGCTCAACTTTGTTCATAGACTAGTCTGTTAAACTTGTCAGTCACCCTTTTTCGTCGAAAGAACAGCTACCATTCCCGCACTCGGCTTTCTACCAGTTCCAGTGGTTTTGAGGCTGTCAAAACGAGGAAGAACCAGACTTCTATCTTCTATCGGATAGCCACTCCAATCAATGCAAATACCAACAGGTACCGCTACGAAGGGATACTGGATAAATGTCAAGATTTAAATAAAAAGCTATTTATTCTATCGCCGTACAAATAATGTTTCGAAATGATTTCTGCATCTAGTCGCGACTTCCTTCTGAACAACCTTCTTACTGTTCGTTCGTCCAAGAGATAGTCTAGCATGTCCGCTGACTAAGACGAATGGTAGGGTCCCCAATTAACTATATTTGTTACAATGATTATGAGATCAAACGTCACCGTGCGATAGGAGTGGCTTACCTACTTAACGCGAAGTTTGCTCATAATCTCCGTCCATCAGTGATTGCCCATATACTTCAGCCATAATAGACGAACAAGGCCTCATAAAGATGTCGCAGACACCATCAGCGTTCAACCACAGAACGAACGATTTACGGATCTATTAAGGCCGTATAATATTTGCGTTGGGTTAATGTGTCGCCAGCTTAATTGTATCCAACCATCGATGTGGCCGTCTGCGAGTACCGCAAACCAAATTCGTTTTCCATCACAAGCCGCAATCCAAAACTATAATGACAACTGTCGTAGTTCGAGAGCATAGATAAGCTGACTAATTATACGGTACCCGTTTATTTAAACTTTTTACTTTGTTCATTTGACTGAGGTGAGCAAGCATCGTAGTCTTACGTACGCCAAAGCTCAGATTCATTTCCGAGTTCAACATCTCATCCTCAACATATATGGAATCAATGATTCTAGCAATAACAGACCATTTACCGAACACAAAGTTGAAGCTCCAAGCTACAGCTCAGAATCGTGAAGTGCTCGAATTTTTTAATTTTCCATGGCTCCGTACAACTCGGCGTCTGAAAGCCCGAATGATGATACCTGAACGAATAATACGGGTTTCAAGATTACATTTTAAAAGCAAAAATTGTGCTATGATATGAAATGGCGCCATTTTGAAATGTGAGACTAACTTATCACCTAACATCTTCTATGAGATATCTTGAATAAAAATACGTTAATTTTTCTTTAATATATACGTATTTAAAGCCAGCGGTGGTGCCTGGCCCCGCAACAGACGTCTGGTTTTCTATATACATATACGACACTATTTAATCGATACCTAATATTTATGATTACCGTTTTGTTGTAGTTTAAAGCAATCAGATATATAAATTAAAAAAAAAAATAGATAAACCCATCTTACATGCCCTAGCCAAGTCGTTGGCGTTATCTGTCCAGTTCGATTACGATTGGCGGGAACAGTTGAATCACTTTAAACTTCAAACATTGACATGTTCGGACTAGTTATTAACTTGAGAAAACTTCAAAGAGCACATGTAGTCACTTTTTTGGACGCTTCTTTTAGATAGACATATGTCGCATGGATGTATTATTGCAAAGTCTCGTTTACCTGGTTCTGTTATAGTTGAAGCTCAACGTATGGTTTCCAGTTGGACGGATAACATTAGCGATTCGTTTAACCTTTATCAGAGTACGTTATCAAGATAATTTTCGTGTTTACGCATTTAAGTTTCCTTAGACAAAAACCAGCCACAGCAGATTTGAGACTTGAGTGTCCTAACGAAGCATCCCGTAACGAGGTTCCTTCGTACTCAAGGTGAAGCGAGGTTCAAGATGATAACGTAAAACCTCGAGCTTGATACTTATCAATTTTTTTCTAATGTCTTCCACTTTAGACAGCAGCTCAACTGTTCGATAATGAAAAAATGTCCCTGAGTTGTTATTATTATATCTTGTCTTCCATCTAACGATAGAGTTCACTCAGCTTTATACTATGCGTTTACTATGCTTTAATGGAATAGACTTGATCGTATAGGTAGTGCTTCCTCCTTAGGACCCTCGTAGACACGAACGTCAGTTGCCGTACTAAATAAATGATGTGTCATTGTAGTGGTTTATTTAATCTAAGAAATAAATCAGCAACAATGCGAATTTTAGTGTGGTCTCTTTTTATTAGGAAATAATGACACGTTATCGTAAACAGAAGCCATTGGATTTCACCTTAAACATCGCTTAATTACGGCATCAGTCTCTCAACGAAAATACTCAAGCAAAATTGAAGTGACAGAATATTTTTCAGCCATTGAATTTATCCAATTGGGCAAAAAAAAGAAATGCTATTTTTATTTAGTTCGAACCAATATGTCGTTTTGACTTCTTCCAGCCTCTTTGAAAAACTGTCGATCTTCAGAAAAACTTTAAAAACATCATGCGGGGGTCCTGGATTAGAGCTAACGAGCGTGCCCTAGCCTTTCATACTTACATAAGGATATGTGTTCATCGCAACGGTTTGTGTTTCGTTCGCTGCTGCCAAAATGGTAAATACATCTACTAGTGTGTCTACTAGAGTCAGCGGGGTATCGTTTTCACTTGTGATGCCCCCAGGTCACGTGACTGAACTTAGTGGATCATTTATGAACGACTGGTGTTTTGCGTAGTTTTTCCCCTGATGATGGACCAATTCTTGGGCCTTGGGCCATTCATGGCAGTCATTCTACGATCGCGTTTTTATGTACGGCGTCAATTGCACATTTGTAGGTAATGCGGAGTTAGCTCAGTTAATACAAACGCACTGATGCAGGCAGATTGAGTTCGACGGTATCAGCCGCAGATGCGTGAGTGAAACTGTGGTTAGTGTATCCTTTTTACGTCGAATAGGTCGCTACTTGATCTGATGATGTGGTAGCGTTTGACTTATGGCACAGGTCACAACAACGGAAAAAACAACTAGAGAAGACGGCCTAGCTGGACGATTATCCACCACGTATCCACCACTTACAGTGTACACACAGAAATAGATAAACGACAACCCTTTTCCGAAATCGTATGCAGGCAAACAGGTCCCAATCGCTATTGCTGTTTTTCAACACGTATTGCGCGTGACGCCGTAACAGCAGCGGTGATGGTAGCACTATTGTTTGAAAGGTAATGGCGTATGGCCGCTATAGCGGCGGTACTGAGTGAGTAGTTTCCTCAATTTTCGATGGCTAGCAGCATATCACTGCCGTCAACTCGTATCAGGACGGAGTGAGACACAGCGAAGCACATGGCGATTGTGTGCTGATTCAATCCAAACAGCTGCCGCTTGTTGCTGCCGATCACAAACTACTCCTCTAAACGGACGAAGAATAGCACGGACTGGCGCTCACTTTGGTGCCTCTTGGCGGCTGTTTCTCGGCGTTCTGGTTTGCCTGTAAGATGCTTCAGCTCTCGGCCAGCAGCAGGCCGATTTTTCGCCTGCTTATACTGTAGCTGTTCTTGGGCTGGTCCGTCACTCTCCGCCAATCAGAGTACGGGAGTACTCATGCGTCCGCTCAAAAGCTCCCTATACAGACAGCCTTTGTTGGTATCATGCCGTTGTGCAGCAATGCTACCGGCTGCGGGTTCGGTACCGTAAAGAAACGCCTATAGGTAGCTGAAGCGAGCCGTTGAACAACTAGTCGCTAATCGGCCAGCAGCCGAAAGACACGAACAAAAGTCATTTTATAACTCCACGGAATCTTAGGGCCCGTTTGTAGATCAATAGAAATCTGTTAACAGCCTTTTATGTTTCGCAACCTCACGCAGTTATTATTCTCAGTTAAGCGTTTCATTTCAGAGCGTCTGTTGGCACGCTGCGTAGATGTACCGCTGTTGCTTAGAAACGAGTTTACCTTTCTGCGGCTGTTTCTAGATAGCCATAGGATATGTGCGCATGGCGCCTGTTTATATAGAGACAGTACGTGTGTCTCTGCGCTTAGACGGAATGGATTCTTCTTTCCTGTTGACTGATTGGACTAAATGGACCTTCTCGCTTTTATCCTCCTCCTTTTGAGCTCTTACAGAGGCTCCGTCCGACACATTCTTTGATATTCTTCCAACATAGCTTCGACAATAGACTCCTCTCCCTTAGCTTTTTCGATCTGATGCGCGCCCTCCCCTTTCACCCCCTTTCTCCTTTTATCTATTTTTTTAAGGTGGCTGAGCCTGGCCGGCAGCTTGTGTCATGTTACTCGGCACCAGATGTTCCTTAGGGCGCCAGAAACCTGGGCAAGGTCAAAGAAGAACGCAAACTTCCATCGAGTCTAGCTAAATTCTGTCCTTGAACCAGTATTTGTCTTGCCGATCGGTCTTGTATAAACCCCATATACGCGAGCACCACAGCGGCAGACATAGGCAAAAAGTCCTGCTTTAGCTCCTCCTGCTACTTTTGTTCAATGCCAAGTGAAGGAAACTGACGGCTGCTCTGTCTTCTCACACAGACACAGATTCGTGCCTCGTAACTCGGTCCTGACCTGCCAAAAAAACACGGGTACTCGCATCGCGTACCTACACCACTACCGCCCATTCGTGACCATTAGCCCCTCGTCGGTCCTCCTTTCTTGCTGTTTGTTGCAACGCTGCTCAACTCCCTGGGCGGAAGTGAGCACTCGGCAAATCTATCACCGTTTTCAGAGCCGAACGCTATATATATATATATATATATATATATATATATATATATATATATATTTTTTTTTTTTTTAACTCCAATGTAACTAGTACTAACCATAACTGTTCCAACAGCTGCATGAGGAATTCTCTGCTCCAGCAACACCAACAGCTATCGCTGGCTTTGGAAAGACTGACTGCCATTGGTTACCATTTGCGCAATACACATAGATTTATACGCTGTATTTAAAAGGATTTTTATTAAAAGAAACCAAGAAAGCAGATGTTTTCCTAGTTCCTGCTTACTTTGGTGCCGTCTTATCGGCTGGACCTCTTAAAAGCCTGGCGGCCTATGTGGTGCACATCGCCCATCGCCGTAGTGGGCTCTGTTCCAATTAATCACAAACGATTTGGTTGAATTAGCTGCAAAGTGAGCACCCACCGTGGATTTGTTAGAAGCATTATTACCCCGTTATGAAAAACTGGTATTTTATAAGAAAAAAGCAAAAGCTATATTCAATATTAGAACGGCAACGCTACAGCGAAACTGGTTGCACAGCGGTTTGAAAGATGCGAGCTAAAGTCTAGGTCTAAACTTTGTGTCCTTAACTCTGAGTTATTTGGCTAGCTTTATTATCAGTTAGATACATTTGCTTTATTCCAGCTTCGCCAGGTACCTTGTATGTAGATATATAAACCAATTCCACCATGCACGCACGCTCAGTCCTTCAAGTAAACTCCATTACCCTTTTAAATTAATCGGCTTCCTAAAGCATCGATGATTTGGAGGAGACATGAAAAAAAGTAAGTTTTTTGTTGATACGCGTCAGCGTCTAGTGGATCTGTTTGTTTTCCGCCGAAAAACCTAAACCTGACGCATCAATCGAGCCGATTCGGCCCTCTTCCTAGCGTCATAATTATTTGGCTTCTTCACATGCCTGTATTTTCCTATGAAGCTTTGTTTTGATAAGTTTTGGTTCAGATGGAATTATTTGAAGACTACAACATGGTGCCTATAGAAGGCTTGAACGAAGAGCGTTGGGCGCAACACATTTCGTGACAATGTTAAAATCGCCAGAAAAAAGAGTCAACAGAGAACCACCTCATTG